AACTAGGATTCGAATAAAGGATCTGCGTCGGTATGATAAAGGGTTGCTTTAATACGAGTACATAAATAAATACAGGTCTTCGGCATCGGAACTGGCAGAGTGCGTGATTCGTCGCGTGCAGGTACGGCGGCGCGACCCATGACAGCACTCCGAGCGGCCGGGTACACGTCCGCGACCCGGGACTCACCGCTGAAGGATGAGCGCAGGGAAGACAGGTGGCTAAATAGTTAACCATGCCTCAAATACAACTAATGCGGGTTAGGATTCACAGGACTCCTGGAATACTGACACAGGTTTTCTTTAAACTTACTAGGAGGAGCCATCTACTATATTGTTTATGTTTGTAGGTAATCTTAAAGAAATAAAGCATTTATTTATTTATTATGAATTAGGTGTCGCTATTTAATCCGTATACATTTCTTATACATTTTTAATAAATAAACAAAACATTCTAGCATTGAAGACAAAATTAAACAAATGGAGTTGCGAATAATGGCGTTGGTTGAGGAATCTTGTATGTTGAGTTCCACACAAGAGACTGAGGAAGATACACCAGCTAAGAGAGAGTTCGACTTGGGTCAAGTAAGAATAAAATAAACTTAATTACCTAGCTATTGTTTGAATCACCACTTTAATAAGTATTTTATGCTACCTAAATATAAAAACCATCACTGAAATATATTGCCATTTATAATATACTGATTCTGAAATGAATACAAATCAGCTAGTTGTTTAAGGGTTGGGGCTGGGCCCATAGATCTTGAAAACTGTAGGGGAAGCACAGAATCTGTCTCTTGATGTGCTAACAGATTTTTTGAACCTTTACGAACAGATAGAAAGTAATGCAGTAAGTGATCAGGGAGTGATATAAAATACGTTAGGGCACACTGAAATGATCAGGAATAGAATATTTCGGACTAAGTTACAATAAAACATTTTTTAGAATTTGAATACTGGCCTCTTAGAATCTTAATGACATTCAATCAATTAAAAAAAGTTTAAAAGAAACTATCTTGTTTTATAGTTGACACATCGTTAACAGAAATGGAGCTCACGCGTGAACATTTCCGTGCCATAATTTATCACAATTTTCGTCGCGGCTATCTCAAGATAAATATCTCAGCGAACTTATTTCGATTCATGATGTTGAAGCACCGAGTCAAACGACAATATACCGCTGGTATGCCGAGTTCCGACGCGGTCGTGTGTCGCTCAACACAGTTTTTTCTGCAGGTCGACCAAGAACAGCGGTCACGCCGAGGGAAGTCAAATGCCGTCAAATATCATCTCAGGTGACGAATCATGGATTTATTCATACGAAACTGAAAGAAAACATCAGTCAACAGCTTGGGTCTTCGAAGACGAGGTCAAACCAACAAAAGTGGTTCGCTCCCGCAACGTATCAAAGAAAATGTTCGCTACGTTTGTTACGAAAAAGGGGCATGTTGCTACAATTCCTTTACAGTAACGCAGAACGGTTACCACTAAATGGTATATCACGGATTGTTTGCCGAACTCTGAAAAAATAACCCGAAACCTCGCATCATCTTACATCACGATAATGCGAGTTCCCATGCGCCTCGGAAGACAAATGATTTTTGAAATAGGAAAACGTTGAGCTGATGAGCTATCCTCCGTACAGTCCTGACCTGAGCCCAAACGATTTCTTTACATTCCCTAGAATGAAAGATTTATTACGCGGTCAACGGTTTGAAGACCCCGAAGCAGGTGTGGAAGCTTACAAATCAGCCATTTTGTCAACATCAACTTCAGATTGGAATTACTGTTTTAATGATTGGTTTGCACGAATGGAAAAGTGCATTAAGTTGAACGGAGAATACTTCGAAAAACGATAAAATACAATTTAGCTATACCTTGCATGAGGTTTTTCTTATTCCCGATAATTTCAGTGTGCCCCTGGTATATATTTTTTTTTCGAGAAATCGAAAAATCGAATGAATTTTCTTTGATAATTATCTAAAATTCCGTCCTCATTAATCTAAATAACGCCACATCAATAGATCTTAGCCATGAACTTAGTCGGACATTTATTATATATAGTACTATATATATCCAATATATATATATATATATCATATATATATTTTTACAGCCTTTTTATCGAGCATTTCTTATTATTAGTCCTCTAGCACTTTCACACAATATATCGCCCTAACTTTCGAAGTCACCCTAACATACTTCTACAGTAGGTATTAATTTAACTCTCTTGTTTTTTCTGCCACACCAAACTTCCACTATGATAGTTAGTTATACGTTAAGGTAGAAACTGAGATTCTGGTTTCCTATAATATACTGGAAAGTTCCATTCTTAGTTATAAGAGAAATGAATAATTTTATCTCTACTGCTTTGATCTAAGCATCACATCGTCAGATCAAAAGCCCTGTCCACTGCTGAAGATAGAACTTTCTGATAATGCGCCAGCTGGTATACAACTCATACTACGCTGGTTAGTAAGTAGAAAGCTAAGATGTAGTAGTTAGACCTAACCTACCGGAAATGCTGCTCCTTCAACTAGTCTGTGAAATTTGGATTCAGTGTGTTTGGATGGAAACGTCACCTTGTTCGTTGATCAGTCTATACCAAATTGTGAGGTTAGCTTTTGAAGAAAAATTGGTAAAGATTTCGATGATTAAAGCTCGTTGCTCTTGCGACGATGTATTCAGCTGATCATAAAACCTCTTTATTTCATTTAAAATCTCCTGTCTTCCATAGAACGTTATCAACTTTAACAGTTGATTCGTTCCGGCGAACATGTCTAACTAACAAAGACTGGAGCCTTGGTTTACCTCTATCGCTTCTTTTGCATTTTAGTTAGGTACGTAAGCTTCGCACCTATCTATCTGATTATGTACCTATGCACTGTCACTTTCAGACTGCAGTTTCATTGCCCGGAAAAGCTATAATATGAGTTTGATCGCAGAGTTTTTCTTTCATTCAGTTCGTAGTTCCAACGACTGGACTGGAAACCAATCTTGTTAGTCGCGAATACAGGCGCAGAGTGTGCGTAGGAATTCCATTAGTAGCTATAAAAATCCACTGCTGAACATAGGACCCTCCCATAGATTGCCTTATAGGGCGGATTTTGGCAGACTTGCCACGCTTGACAGGCGAGTTGGCAACCGCAGTATTTTTATTATTTTGAGTTGTTATCAGGAAGATGCTGCTGCTCATCTTCTGTTTTAGTTTCCTTCTGTCGTCTCTTACGACACCCCCGGGACGATACGGGGTAGTGGATATTCCTACACCGCCACTACAGGGTTGCGTCGGAATATAATGACTTAATATCCTCTTTCCCCTTTCGTCAAGCGATTGACAAATGCTCGGCAGGTCTTCACCCCTTAAATGTTTGCTTCATCGTTGGTAATGCGGTCAGCAAAGAGGTCTTTCCATCCGATTACAATGTAAGTATTTTAAAACGCAAAAGTGTATAACCTAAATGTCCTTCACCATCGAAGTCTGATCACCATTATTTATACACGGATGGGATTGGATTTCAGCACTCATTAATAGTTAATAAAAAATAATATCAATAAAAAATATCTGTTCATTCTGAAATTATTATTTTTAGGCTTTGGCGAAAGCGCAAGAGGCATCAACTCTGGAGCGTCAGTTAATCCGAATGCAAGAGCAGGCTAACTTGGGAGACTCCCATAACTTAGACCTTACATTTGCCGTAAGAAGTTGATTATTAATCATACCTACTAGAGAGTAAGAGAGTGAATGTGTGTGACATGTGAATTTTTAGAAATTGTGCACATTTATAGACACAATTGTGATTTAGTAAGTCTAATTTCATTTGTTTTATATCAATACACAATAATCTAAAGCGTAATAGATCATTATACTTGGCTATAAATATACCTTGATTTGTAGAAAAATAGAGAAACTTGTCCTTTTCCTTGCATTTTAAACATCTATGAATATCATATTGAAGCATATATCCAATCTCATATTATTTGCGTTTCCGAATGTGCAGTGTGCAGTTTCGTATATAGATAATATTGTAAATGTACTTGTCACTTGTTGTTGGCCAGAAGAACAGCATCGGATGTTACTAAATTATAAGACCGGTAACGTGAGGGCCCATATGACGTTGTCTTGTATTTAGTAGAGCTTTTGGTCTAGAAACAACAATCTCTACAAAAAAGTTCCCCTAATCTCTTGATATCTGGTACTGCGACGATAAAAGCAAAAAAAATCCTAGGTCGATTGCACGTAGTTGCTTCCCGAAGTAGAGTTCACTTTCGCGTTTCCGAAGCAATTAATTCTCCGATCGTCAGCGCATGGTTTTAAATCCAGTAAGAGGAATGTAGAACATTCTAGATCAATCCGTCTCATTACATAATATGTACGAAGAGGAAAAGGCTTTATAATCGTAGAAATAAGGTAGCAGTTTATTATTAAGCAGTGGTAGCTCAGGGGCTAAGCGCTCGCTGTAAATTTAACAATACCCGGGTTCTATCCCCATCGACATCAATGAAATTGTTAATTACAATTTTAAGTGTTGATTTACCACGTGCTCAGCGGTGAAGAATAACGTCGTGAGGAAATTTGCATGTCTGAGAAATAAAAAATAAAATATTTCGAAGACATAGACACACAACTTCCACAGTTCGCCAACACACATTGGGGCAGCGTAGACATTTCCTTGTGTCCTAAATCCCTCTCAGAAATGAGAAGAGATCTGTGCCCAGCAGTGGGGCGTATATAGGCTGTAATTTTAACTTTTTTTATTATTAATCGTGTTTAATAAATATTTTGTATTATTAAAAAAGGTGTTGTGTAACTTGGCTGGGCAATACACGCTGAATGAAATGTATACTGAGGCTTTGAATACATATCAACTACTGACGAGGAATAAACTATTTCCTCACGCAAACCGGCTCAAGGTACGATGGGTATTCCTTAATTTAATTCAACGCTTTTCAATAAACACACAATTCTTAATTCAGCTGTTTATATTTTTCATCAGGTGAACATGGGCAACATATACTTTAAAATGGGCGAACATCCAAAAGCGTTAAAATTGTATAGAATGGCATTAGATCAAACGCCAACTGCTGAAAAAGATTTAAGGCAAGTGTTAATTAATCACGCATTCAATCATGCAGTCGCCATTAATCAGACCCTAAGTAGGAAAAACAAGTGTAAGTAAATAGTGGTCGCTACGGCAGTAAAAATCTTTGAGATATTTATAACAATATCAACTTGGGTTACGGGGCAGAATTCTAAAAAGGAATAGAGTGGTTCCATAGACGCAATAAAATGTATCATTTGGGATTTAATAAAACAACAGGAACAATACAATACAATACGCCTTATTGTACACCAAGAAAAGATAAATATAACAAATAATGAATAATTAATGAGGGCAAAAGAAAAGGCGGTCTTAATACATAGCAATCTCTTTCAGATAACTCAGAAGACGAAATTAATAAAAATACGAAAAACCGGGTAAGGTGCACTAAATTAGAAAAAAAAACCAACTTATGTATTAAAAAGACAACATTATTTTGGTAGATCAATAACTTAAAGTGAAAAATGGGGTTCCAATGACAGAAAACTGACGATTAATCTCATGGAAATTTCCTAAGGACCTGAGTCTACTAAAGGAGGCTAGGAATACCTAGCGATCTAAGGAATTTCCACATAACTGTGGTCTAAGTATTAGAGATATTATCATGAAGCGTTTCACACTATCTGATTACATTTGATTCTTAAAACTTTTAAAACCAGTCCCGTTATCCACTGTGCGCTGTTTCTTAAACATCTGAAAAGCGTGGTTTCGTCTCGCTATTGTCACCCTTCCGCACCTGTTCATCCCGACGGACAGGAGGATAGATATGCAGGTTTTCTCAACGAGGACCACCACCAATTACACGCTAAATCAGCACTTAAAATTATAAGTAACAATTGGTGCCAGTGGGGATCGAGCACGACTGCTCGCGTACTGTGAAATTTACAAAGGGCCCTTAACTGATGGCGCTGCGTAGGGATGTTGCATCCCTTTGCCTTTTCTATCGCATCTACCACGGGGAGTGCTCTGAGGAATTGTTCGGATTAATTTCAGCCGCCAAATTTTACAAACGCACATTGCGTCAAAATTCACGATATATCCTCACCATCTGGATGTTTGGCGGTTCACCATTGTGCGTTTTACTAGGAGTTTTCTTCCTCGTACAACTTCTCTGTGGGATGTTTACCACCGGTGATTTTTCCGGACCGATACTACTAAGGCCCGCCACATGAATACGGAATTCCGTTTCGGGATTCCGAACGTCCATATAAAATCAATGACCCGTCACATACCTACGATAGTTTGACTGGTAACTGATTTTATGTAGTACGGAGTTCCGTATGTAGTGTGTGGCAGGCCTTAGGGGCCTTCAAGAAAAGAGCTTACTCCTTTCTAAAAGGCCGGCAACGCACCTGCAATTCCCCTGGTGTTGCGGTTGTTCATGGGCGGCGGTATCAAGTTCTATAAAAAAAATATCTCGATTTAGCATTTTCATAAGTGATATAGCAATAATTAACGTAGCTCTAATACAAGAAAACTTTGCTTAAAACGGTTTCCAAACAGGTGAAACGTATTAATATACAAAAAGTATAAAGACAATTTTTGAAAATGGGCAATTTCCATAAAATAGTTTAAGCTTAATGCTTTATGAATACGTGGTAGAGCCACACTGCAGCTTTATTATGATAACAGCACGAATGGGGTCGGCTCGACCGGGTAAGGACCACGCTCTTACAGAATGCCATCGTAAAATAGTAGCTTAATGTTGCTGTGTTTCGTATGGTGAGTCTAGACTACCGGAGACCCGTTTTACTGGAAACGAAGCATACCATTTTAAAGTCCTCATGGTCGACAACGCATCTGCATTTTGATTCTTAATCAAGATTAAATAGACGTGTATGGGCCATAGCATCCACTTACCATGAGGTGGACTGTGCTCGTTCGTCAAATTATTCTATAAAAATATATTATGGATCATATAAACACTAAATGAAACTTATCATAGAAAAAAAAACTTGCTAACCCACCCAAGCGTGGCAAATATGGCGTCTATATTTATCAGCTAATCAATCTATGTAAGAGGCTTATGTTAAAAATTGGACTTTTCATAGGTTGAAATGAATGAACGAACGAATGTCAATGGGTGCGTTTGGCAGAAAAAAGCGCTAGCAAGCGCTTACAAGCGCTAAAATAGTTTTCGGCCAGGACACGATTGCTAAATCAGTAGCGCTGACACAATCCGCCATTTTGCTTATTTAATTTGTTTGTTTTGAAGTAGAGTTTATAAGTTGTTTTGTGCAATATTAGTTTTAAGTAATATAATGACATGAATAGACATATACATGTTATTAAATATTCATGATTGGTAAGTTTTTAATATGAATAATTTACAAATATATATTTAAATTAGGTTAGATTCCCGGTTAAAACTAACATCGTGTCCTGGAGGAAAATAGCTACTTAGGATTTCACAGCGCTTACCGCTTACGATCGCCATTTTCTGCCAAACGCACCCAATATAAGCTTATGTAAATATATTTCCTTCGAGAAGGCTATTGCACGAAGTTAAAGTGTGATACCATTTTCATTTATGAGGCGGTTTAAGTTCTCGTATATACTTAATATGTTAGTGATTACTTAATGACACAAAACGACTGTGGTAAGTAGTACTTACATACATACATACATAAACACTCACGCCTATCACCCAGAGGGGTAGGCAGAGACTACAGACTTCCATTTGGCACGATCCTGACACACCTCTCTCGCCTCCTTCACATCCATATACCTACGCATACATGCAAGTTGGATAGGGGTACTCCTAATTTGGCCCGTTTTCAATAAATCGCCAATTTGGTCGATAAATTTTTGCCTAGGAACGTCCCTTTCCGACTCTGCCATTCACTTCTGCAACATAGATTTTCTTTGTCACTCTTTCCTCATTCATTCTTTCTACATGACCAAACCACCGAACCATTCCTTTCTTAATCCTGGTCACAACATCATCTTGCAAACCACACTCTTCTCTTATCACACAATTTCTCTTTGTAATGTACTTAGATAATAATATATATTCTTTGACATTTATTTATTACATGTAAATACTGAATAAACAAAATAAACTAGGGATCTCAAAATCGATCCTTGAGTTAATATCATATATATCTGGGTTTGTCTAACTTGTTCTACTATAAAGAATATAATTATTTCTACGATAGACAAAATGGGATTATTTTCATTTAGTTCTACTGCTTAGTAGGTATCATGAGTAGGTTTTCAATATTATAATTATTTTAAGCATGAAGCCATCGATAGTTAATCTTTGCATTAGCTGATAAAAAAAAAACAATTTTGCTGCCGTATTATAATAAGATTTTCTAACTATTATCATAATTACAGGATGAAAGTAATGCACAACATAGGACTACTCTTGGTTCGAATGGGTAAATTCCGCGATGCTGTCACGAATTTTCAACATATAATGCACGAACAGGGTGATTTTCAAACAGGTATAAATTATTTATCATCAGTTAACAATAACACAAAAGTATGAAACTACGCGCATTATTGATATAAATTAATTATATGACATCAGTAAATATATAATGATTTCTTAAATTTACGCGAACACTACACATTGAATAAAACTATTATTTACGGATTTTATCGCGTTTAATTACTTTAATTTATTTTTATTATTATCCCGACGTTTCGGGTGCTTTACAGCGCATTACCATTAATAAAAATAAATTAAAGTAATTAAACGCGATAAAATCCGTAAATAATAGTTTTATTCAATGAGTAAATATATATCTTAATATACTTATATAAATTACGTGTCACGTTGTTTGTCCGCGATGGACTCCCAAACTACTTAACCGATTTTGAAATTTGCACACCGTATGCAGTTTGGTCCAACTTGAGAGATAGGATAGTTTTTTTTGCCCATGAGTGACCCACAATTTTTTTTTTGCGAATTTAAGGATTTTTAATAGGACATGACAGTGTCGTCGAAAAGGGCAGAACAACGTCTGCCTGGAAAGCTAGTATATATATATATATATATATATATATATATATATATATATATATATATATATATATACATATATATATATATATATATATAAATATATATATAATGTTTGCTACCCATTTACCATCAGTAAGTATCGTCGTCGTAATAGTAAAAATTTTGTACAACCGACTTCAATATAAATAAAACGAGAACATCATCAATGTTGTCAAAAAACTTCTGGTCTGATCTTGATTTCTATAGGGCCACATGAGAAGCACCAGCTTTCGATTAAAAATCATCAAAAACGGTTCACATAGATAAAAAATCTGAGGAAACACACATAAAAAATACAATCGAATTGAGAACCCCCTCCTTTTTTGCAGTTGTTTGAAGAAAAACTTTGGTGTTCATTTTGAGTTCATGGTTGACAATAAATAGATACCTTTGTCATAAATGTAATTCCGAAAGACTAGTTTACCTTTTCAATACCGCAATTAGTACAGTACGTGAGGGTAATATGATCATCCGGTTAATATGGTCACATTCTTATAACTCAAAATCTACAGACTTGTTTGCATATATGTCTATTAATAACAAAAGATGATTATTAATAAGAAATCTCCACATAAATATGTCTAAGCACACCTTGGACTCTTTTCCCCTCTCTTTATCTCGTGCCGCTGGCCTCAGACCATAAAGATATTAAACAAAGTCAGGGAATGATCTAATTAGCTAGACAAATACCGTTCACAATAGCCCCAACTTACCATAGTGCCGGTGGGGTGACGCCTTTGACGAATGTCGCTGCTAAGCTAAGTAGTATTCGCGACGCCTGTAGTAATCTTACATAGATACGATACATATGTACTACCCTAGTATGGACACCAGTCTCTCACAAAGGTCAAAATTATCTACAACCGTATTATTTAAGAAATAATGTGAAATTATATACCTTTGTGAAGAGAAAATAAAAAAAATGATTTATTATTATTATATGTATTTGGTACAAATGCTTAACTGGCTAGTATTATTATAGAAGAGTTGCGACGGATGAGTAAGCTGATGTGGCTATGGGCCGGCCATATAGCTCGAAGACCCGACAACCGATGGGGAAGAAAATTCCTCGTGTGGCAGGCTCGTACCGGTAGGCGAAGTGTAGGCAGGGAGAAGTAAAGCGAAGTATTGGGGAGGCCTATGTTCAGCAGTGGACTTGTGAAGGGCTGTAATGATGATGATGATGATGATTAGATAAGAGCTTGCTCTCGTTTCAGGTTTCATATTACAAGAGGGAGCTATTAGATTTTAATCCCTCCAGACAATAATTTACATTGTGTGTCTTAATTACAAGTACTGAGTAACCAAGTGATCGGCCGTGCGAGAAAATATTGTAACGAATTCTATATGAATCTAAATTAAAATGCTATCAGTATGATTCTTCAACACTGCCATCATAGAGCTTAATTTATATTACTCCAATCTAATATTATGTTTAGGGTTGTCAACCCTCATATATAATATAGTATCCTACAATATAAGTATAGGAATAAGTATGAGAGGTCCAATTACTATATTTCCGAAAAAATATAGAGTATGCAAATTACAAATCTACTATATTTCTATATGGCGTAAGGCTCAAAGAAACAAAAATATTCATTTCAACTATCATTATTATCATAAGCATCATCATCATTACTACACTTTATAAGTCCGTAGCTGAAAATATGCCTCCCCCAAGGAATATCACAAAACATACATAGTCATCTGCATCCATCGTCTTGTGATCTTGTATGATTATCTCAAATCTAAATTACGCCACGTCAGCAGATCTAGGCATAGCCGGGGCGAGTCGCTATTTTGAAATAAAACCGTTGACAACCCTAATCTGTAAAGTATTCTTCTGGGCATGCTTTAGATTACGCGTTTTAGTTTATTTCTTGTAGAATGTGCTCCGATTATCTATCATTTATTTAAGTTCTCTAATGTTATAGGAGCTGGCGGTACTGATGTAATGCTTTATTTGAGGATGTCCTTAAATGCTCGATCGAATTGTGTGACGCGACTCCAGTCGGCGAATCTCATTGTGCGCGTATCCGTAGTAGATAAAATGATATTATGGTCCCCTTCAGAACACAAAGATTAATAAATAATATTAAACTTAGTCAAAACCAACATGAAACTGTTCAACCTTTAATTGACGTTAACAGAGAATTGTTACGCTTCGCGCCAAACCGCCATATTTTATGAAAAGGGTTTTACTAAAGGAAATATATCATTTTAATTTATACACTTAGCGTAAACCGTGTTGCTTGGGATTATATTATATTTCTTATTTAAGGATTACATCTGGTGTTATGTTCTGTTGCTTTGAACGACCCAGAAGCGGGTAAGGCGGCTTTTCACTCAATGTTAGACGTGGAGCCACCTACTTATCATCAGGACCTTCCTATTGACGATGTAAGTATTCTACAATATAGTGTTTCTAAATTGGTTTTTACGATCTGGTAATGCGTGCATGAATTTGATTGATACCTCGTAGAGACAATGAAAAAATTTCTCCTGAACTCTTACGACTACGAGAACTACCAGGGCTACCCTAGCGTTTCCGCAACTTACCACTTCGAACGTAAGTGGATTTAATAGGTTCGTAATAACAAAACGGGTGTTCGGTCTCAAGTCTCAAAATATTTTCGGTATCCTTGGCATATATTGTCATCAGCTAAGTTACCTGTAAATTTGTGGAGAAACTGCGCGATATGCGTGTCAACATATTGTGAAAAATATAATAAATAATGTAAGTACTTACATGTAAATGCGAATAGAAAAGGAGTGGAATAGTTTGCCAGCATCTGTCTTTCCATTCGATTATGATTTGGGTGTCTTTAAGGCAAGAGTGAATAGGCTTTTGTTAAGCTGAGTCAGTGTGCTTTACCATCTTCGGCTGCTCCACCACTTACCATCAGGTGGGATAGTACCTATTCAAACACTGGCTTATAATTTGTAAAAAAATATAGCGTTTGACTTTACTTAAAAGTGTTGTAGTCAATACAAAAATACCTACATGAATAAATAAGCATCCAAGTAAAGAGACTTAGAAGGGCTAGAACTAGAACCCCAGAGCCGTAGAGCCAGTTAATAAAAAAAATCCAAGTATAGTTTCCATCGTAACTTGTAGGAAAATGACGCATACGAGTGTGTGCTGCGCGACGTTTTACGCGGAGACCGACTGTCGCGGTGGTCGCGCCGGGCCGCGGCACACGCTGAGCGCTGCCTCGCGCTCGCCGTCGCTGCGCTCGCGCCCCTCGCCGGCCATAACACGAGGGATGAAGACATTACGTAAGTGGTATGGAGTAACGTATGCCGGACGCGTTTTTCGTATTAGAAAAGCTAGTGCCATCTGTTATAACTAATTTTAACTACAATGTTATCGGCGTTATTTCGTTGGAGGTTGTCTATAGTTCATAAAAGCTTGATCTCTGCGACAGCTGTCAGTAAAATCACGCCTATGAAGTTCTGAATTTCTTAGTAGTACAGACAGTAGCTGTCAATGTCATACTTTATGGGCATGCCGATCTAATTTAGTGCATGCCCATAAAGTATGACATTGACAGGTACTGTCTGTACTACTAAGAAATACAGAACTTCATAGGCGTGATTTTACTGACAGCTGTCGCAGAGATCAAGCTATATTTTATGAACCATAAAAGACGTACATTATTGTGCTTTTTGTCGTAGTTCGCGCAACACCAGACGGTAAGTAATATGGTAAGATGTGGCGACATCGGTTTTGGAAGTAATCAAGCGCTAATTCATTTCTATTGTCTTATTATTACTATTTCTGTAGTACTAACACAGCATTGTGAATTGCCATACGTGCTCTTATTATTGAAAAATGTTGACAAATTGTGTAATATCCATTTAAAAATACCAAACCTAAAATCCAATAAACTGTGGGCATGGGCTAACAGTATTACCGTACGAAAGTCTGATATTATACTTCAAAAGCATTCACACTCCAATGGTATCAGCTTTTAGAATACCAACCTACCTTACCGTGAATATAGGCTATACTTGTATGCCATTTTTTGCAGTTTGAAATTTGTTTTATATATAGACGCGGTCTTAATACATTGCGCATTAAATTACGGTCGATTCTCCGTAACTTCGTTAGTCAACTGCGAACGGACGAGAAGACTAGTTCTTTGTTTTGTAAACCGTAAACATTGTTTTCGACAATCTAATATTAATGTGCAACACACTTTGTTAACGTGATTTTTTTAATTACTATCAACATTTCCACGACGATAAAAATACGATTAGATTATCTTAAGTTATAATATACCATTAGGTAAGTCGCATCTAACGTACTTTTCTTTTATTGAAGTGAAATAAAATGAAATCCGGGAGGTCTGTTCACTAATATCACGTAGGCGCACTTATTATTTTACTTTGTTTATTATTTTTATTGTGTTTGTATAAATATTGTTACGAGCTTAGGGTTCGTGACAATAAAAACTGCCGATTGAATTACCAAAATTAACACTTTAATCACCGAACACCAATTAACTTAGGGGCGTTCTTCAGCCCCATAATAACGCGCCAGGCGATCCACATGGACCATCTTAGGAGACCCTCTTGCGCCTTTCTGTATCCGGTAGGTTACATCTTTGGTCCTGGTCACAATCCGGTACGGGCCGTCCCATTAAGCTTGAAGCTTAGGGGATTTCCCTTTGCTGCGGACTGGATAGTGCAACCACACTAGTGAACCTTCGTCGAACCCTTTGTTGTTCATTTTGCGGTCATACCGGGTTTTCATCTTTTCGGACATTTGCTGGCCCGATTGGTGTCAGAAGTGGGATAAAATCATGCCGATTTTACCTAAGAAGGAAACGGAGGGTGTCCGTACCCGAAGTCAACGCCAGCAGGAGACGGACTAGAGAAGATTTGGTGGTGCAACGCTGCAGACGTCGGAGGGCCAGCCGCAGGCCACGGAGGTCAGCCCGTCAGTAGCTCCTCCATCTGGAGCATCTGACTTAGGTGCTCTGATGGTGATGCTGCAGGAGGAGGCCCGTCGATTGGAAGAGCAGCTGAAGCGCGGACAGGATGAATAGACCCGTCAGTTGAAAGAGCAGCAGGAGGAACAGGCCCGCCGACAGGAAGAACGGGCCCGCCGACTGGAGGAACAGGCCCGTCAGTTGAAAGAGCAGCAGGAAGAACAGGCCCGTCGCTTAGAAGAGCAGCACAAACGCGATAGGGAAGAGCAGATGCTTCTCATGAAGGACCTTCACGCTACCTTCGGGAAAGAGATAAGGGAGGTGAAGGATAAGGTTGCTTAATATGATAACCGCCTGTCGGAAGCTGAGACCCAAATCAACCAAGTTAAAAAAACGCTTGATGAACTCAAACTTGGAGATGGAATTGCAGCCCCCGCAGTAGCTACAACACCTTCGCTACGTGGCTTCAAAGTGCCACCGTTCGACGGGACTTCTTCCTGGTCAGCTTACAAAGTCCTGTTTGAAGCTGTGAAGGCGAAGGGAATAAAAGTCAAGCCATGACCGCTCTCACACTAGGCCTGCGCGATCAGGCCTTAACTGTTATGGAAGCTCTCGGTGAGGAAGTGACTTATGAGCAGCTCCTTGAGGCATTGGAGGCAAGATATGGTGACGCTCACCTGGAACACGTCGTTCGTGCGCACCTTAAAGATCGCGTGCAACGCATCAACGAAACCCTGCAACAGTGGGCTCTTGAGGAGGAGAAGCTTGTGCGAAAAGCATACCGGTCTGTACCTGCGCTCATTGATGGGAACCTGGTGCAGACATTCATCGACGGCGCCCGCGACCTAGAAGCTGCTGTGAGGGTCGGGCACCACGAAACACTTAAGGACGCCTTGGCCCATGCACTGGAGGTGGAAGCCGTGTGGCAGGATCATCATTCCCATCGTGTCAGGGAGGTTGCAGCAGCTACAGTTCGCGACCGCAATAATGGATACAGCCAACATGTTATGACTGTGGGGAAAGGGGACATCTTCGATCCAGCTGCCATTAGCGAACTGTAGAAAGGGAAGTTGATCGATCTCGAGAGGGTAGTGAAGCTAACGGCACCGCCTGGCGGCGGCAGGATCATCATTCCCCTCATGTTAGGGAGGTTGCAGCAGTTACGGTTCGCGACCGCAATAAAAATGATACAGCCAACATGCTACGGCTGTGGGGAAAAGGGCCATCTTCAATCCAGCTGCCCTAAGCGAACTGTAGAAATGGGAAGTTGATCGATCTCGAGAGGGTAGTGCAGCTAACATTACCACCCAGCAGCAGGAATACGACTTTCGACGATTGAACACCGCAGCGGGAAATCGCATGGCAACGCAGATGCATTATAAAGGAGACCTTGTCCTGAATATTACAAGCACTGTACTAGGAAAAAGAATAAGGAAGTGGTATCCGTGAAGATGCTCAGGGCAGACTACCTCAGCAACGAGTGGAAGGACAGCTTACAACATGCACAGAAGGAAGATCCGTACATCAAGCCGATTCTGGAATGGATGAAGGCCCGTGCTACCAAGCCTAATTGGAGCGACGTCTCAGCGATGAGTTCGACCACTAGAAGCTATTGGGCCCAATGGGACAGCTTGCTGATCCAGGATGGAGTCCTGTGCCGTAAATGGGACAATGGTCGAGGAGACAGCTGTCGTTTGGTTCCCATTCAAATGGTTGTCCCTAAAGGTTAAGTGCCGAATGTTCTACAGCTGTACCATAATGGTTGTTCAGGAGTCCATCTGAGAGTTAAACGAACTCTACTGAAGATCCGAGAACAGTTTTACTGTGTCCATTATCGTGACGATGTCGAGGATTGGTGTCGCAAATGTACAAGTTGTGCGGCTGTGTAGGGACCTCAGACACGTAGTAGAGGAGCATCGAAATTGTACAATGTTGGTACACCGCGGGATAGGACAGCCCTTGATATTGCGGAGCCGTTACAGAAAGGCGCAAGAGGGACTCCTAAGATCGTCCATGTGGATCGCCTGGCGCGTTATTATGGGGCCGATAGTGCTCGGGACGAGCATGTCTTAGGATGGGGCAGTGTTGCGCGCCTAAGTTGACGTCAGGTACCTGGCACTAGCGCCATCTAGTGTCGGGGACAAGAGCGAGGAGGGCTTCCTAGAAAATGTCAATCTTGATCTTTCGACCAACAGCGCCATCTAGTATCGAACTGAAGAATTAAGCTTTCTAGAAGCCCCACACTCGAACTTTCTGTGTCTGGTCGTTCGGCGCCCGCATTTACTGGAATATTCTGGATGTTTCGGTAGAAAAGATGTGTTTAAAGCCGCTGCAACCCGCGATCGGGGCAGTATTGAATTTGGCGAGACAAGCGAAGCTTCGGAGCGAAATAAAGTGAATCAGTGTGATTAATTATTAGTGTTTTAAGTTTTAATTGGTGTTCGGTAATAAAAGTATAAATTTTGGTAATTCAATCGGCAGTTTTTATTGTCACGCTCGTTCGCCCTCAAGCTCGTAACAATATGTATAAATAAATATTTTTCTATTCTAAGAATAAAATAGAATACTATTTTATTATTATGGCTATTGTAATAAAATACGAATATAAATAATAATCACAAGAAACTTTCACTGCGGCGCTTCGTTTTTAAATGCCAAATTCTCCTGCGGGTGTATGCCGCAAGCGGCGACCTTTGAAGTCGCGGCGGCTCCTTTGACAAGATGCGGTACGTGCAAAGGCGGCGCGATACAAAGGCGACCGTATCTAAGCGAACATACTATACACACTACAAACTTGCCAGTTAGAAGTAAAATTACTACTCTCTACAATTTATGACGGCCTGGTAAGAGATGCAGAAAGTCGATGGATGCAGGTAGCTCAGGACCGTGCTTTGTACCGTTTGGGGGAGGTTGCCTAGTTAATTCAGAAGAGATTAGTATGTTACTTTATTTAGTATTTACCTCAAAACAGTAACTATCGTAAATGAAAATACAACTTCGTCCGTGCGATCTAGAGCTATGACACAGTTTTTGTTCTGAATTGCCGGTCTAGCAGCATAAATAGAAGTCGTTGGGATAGATCTTTGAAATAATATAAAAGTCGATGGCTCTTGGCGTACAGCAGCGCGTCGTGGTGCGCAGAGGCGCTGCGTGGCTACTCGGGCGGCAGTGCGGGCGCGCGGTTGGAACTGGGTGCAGCACTTGCAGCGCTGCGCACGGCAGTGGGCCCAGGTGGGGGCTCCGCGCTAGCAGCCGGTGCTCGCGCGCTGCAGCGCTTGAAAGCCGTCGCCCGCGCGTACCACGACGATCGCGTACTACGAGCTGAGGCTGCCGCAGACGCTGCTTTTGTCGCTTACGCGGTAATATTATTTCGTTGTACAAGTTTTTAGATAAGTCAAACTGATTTAGATATAAAGGGTGGGCCATTGGCTAGTTTCTTTTTAAGAATATCATAAAATAAACACTGCTTAACATTTTTCAAATTTTGTTATTTTATTGAAAAAGATAAAAACCTTCCTATTATCTATGCAATATATTCATTTGAATGGCTGCATCGGCTGGCTTGGAATAAGCGTATCCACTCAACCCAATTTTGCAGTACCTATATTTTTGATGGTTTGAGGCTTTACTTCACAAAAGCTCGATCAATAAATTACTTAAGTGCCTGAATTGTTTCTGGGTGATCAGAATAATATTTATCTTTAACACCACCCCTCAGAAAAAAGTACAACGGCGTCAAATCACAGCTCCGGGTAGACCAATTTAAATCATCAAAACGGTTGATTACCACTAGTGTTGCCCAAAATCGGTCTTGGTCTTGCAGTCTTGGTCTTGTTCTTGCATTTTTGCAAGACCAAGACCAAGAACAAGACCGCCTAATTTTAGCAAGACCAAAAAAACCAAGACTGACCGTGCAAGATTTGAGCAAGAACAAGACTAAGCCTGCAAGACTCTTGCGTCTTGCAGTTAGGAATGAAGTGTCGTTTCAGGGAGTATAGGAAGTTCGGGTATACGCTTAGGGACTCTATGAGACGCAAAAAATATATAAAAAAATTTGGAAAATTGGACTTATGCGCATTACGAAAAATATCATAAACATACATAGCGGATGAAAATATCCATTAAAAGAAAAAACAGCGCATCCCTAGTTTTGACCATCGGCACTTTGATAGTGCGCGGCGTCTTGTTGTCGGCATCATCAAAGGTCGAATACTGACCTGTCAAAGAAATTTTGCAGCTATTCGGAAGTACAAGGTCAAGATACACGCGCCGGCGGCTTCTATTGATATCGCATTCAATCGTCGCCGCTGCGCCGCACGCATAACATTTGACACTGTTTGAATGCCGTCACAGAGTGCATGTTCCAAAGAATAAAATAAGTTTCCGGTTGCTCAGAATGGAACACGAATACATTATGCTGATCTCGCAAGGAGTATTGTAATTAGATAATGGTAAGGATAGGTAGATACCATAATAATTTATTCTAGTAAGTAATTATTATAATATTAACTATATGGGTTTATAACAATATTATTATTATTATTACCTAATAGATAAACATGTTCAATAAGTTCACTGCAAATCTCGATTTTTGGAAGTGTGTGTTTTTGAACACAAAGTGTTCGAATATGTCGTCCCAATTTGATAAATATTGTAGACTCTACACTTGAAACGTGTAAACATTTTGTACAATCTAATCGAATAATATAAAAAGTGTGCATATTAAATAAAAAGCGTAAAATAAGATCTATGTACATTTTAGGAGCCCGAGTATCTCTTAGAGAACCGTTCAAAGAAATTGATTGCATCGAATTGATGTAAATAATGTGATTTTCACAATTTTAATAGTAGAAATAAAAATAAAATCACAATACCTGCTTTTCCTGTTACACAAAGTATATAATGCGTTCTTGGGTAGCGATATACGCTTTTATAATAAGATTCCAAAAGAAATGTTAGATCTTTCACCTTTTCAATTTAAGTCAGACAAAAATGTTTGGAACTGACCTCTCGTACTACACAGGACTAACTAGAAATTTTTAAACCGATTTGGTATCTACATATACATTTGACATTTTATGTTTGCCTTATCGCTTTACATAATTATAGAAGTATTACTATTATTACAATTTAACTAAATTTTGTAAAGAGCAACTACTGAGTTTCTTACTTTCTTCCATGATTCTTCTCAGTAGAATCAGAACCCCTGGACATGGAAAAGAAAATATTGGGGAAAACAGTGATTATATGACAATTCAAAAATGTAGTTTCAATGCCTACTTGAATAAAACATATTTGAATTTTGAATTTTAAACGAGTGAAGGCAAATTTAATTTAATTAACGTAGATTAATTCAATCACAAGAAGAACATAATATACACAATTTTATTTACTTATTTACATTTTATTTTTACGTAGGCACACTATACCTATCTGGCAACGCATCTACTTTATTAATCTTCTGAAGAATCATTAATTTTATCAAAGGCTGCCGAACTTTCCTTTGTCGGTCTTTCGGCGTGTACTTACAAATAGTAGTACTTATTTTAATTCCAGTCATTCCCAATTGAGCTTTGCTTCGAGTCTAATGTATTAATTGTTTTTACTCTAATCCTTGTTGTTCTCGGAGTGATAAGTTTACAATTTGACGTGAGTGACGAAGAGTCGAATAGTTCTAGTCGGAGTAGTGAGAGTTGGAGTTATAGATCTAAAAGACTAAAAGTAAATTTGATGAGTTTTTCGACATAATTCATGCATCCCAAATTGCTTTGTGTAAATTATGCCAACATAAAAAGCTTGAAATAAAAATGAAAAACAGAAACACTTCAGGCTTAACGAAGCATCTAATATCTTTTTCCACAAAAAGGAATCACAAATATTTCTTCCTGAAAAACCAAAATTAAGTGGAGATATCACAAGCTTTTTAATAACCACCGAAAAAAGTGGATAAGTAAGAAAAAATATACTTATTACGCAATTACATAACACATATATTATGTAATTAGCGGCCGCCTGCGACTTCGTCCGCGTACAATATCTGATTTCCTATGAGATTTTGAAATTTTCTCGCTGCAAAAGTTTTACCTAAGTATAAAGAGGCTATATAGGTAAAGCTTAATTATGCAAGTATTTATTATTTAAAATTAATAAAGTAAATGTCGATCTTCATATCTATAGTTTAAAAATATAGGGCTTGCATGTAACCATTTTACCCCAATTTCACCCCCTTAGGGTTAGAATTTCGTAAAACAGCTTATTCAGGATTTTATTATTGATAACTTTAATGCCGATTTTCGTGTCTCTAACTTCAAAAACGTAGGACTTTCATACAAACTTCCAACTCTCATTTCACTCCCTTAGGGCTAGATTTTCTCAAAACCGTTTCTTAACTCTTTTGAGAAATAAATTTTTTTTTTTTTTTATGTATATATATATGGATTATAGTGTTAAATATGTATTTATAATTCACTCATATTTTCATTTGTTTTTATAATCTGCGAGGCACATGATTTACTGCTTTATTTCAGTCTGAAAATAGCAGTGACAACATCACGACAGTTACAGTTGATTGGATGGTTAAAAAATATCTTCCCTTCTCATTTTTCGATGACGAAGCTAGACAAGTATATTTTCGATCAATTTGCCCAAATATGGTGTTTCCTAAAAGGTCAACACTTAGAAGGAAGGTCAAAGAACGGTTTGAAGAGCTTCAATTGAATCATAAGAAACGACTACAACAATTTTCATCTAAAATGTCATTTACCATTGATGGATGGACGTCATTTGCTGGTAGGAGTTACTACGGGGTCACTATTCATTATATAGACAACGAATGGAACTACCGATTTGTAGTCCTTGATTTTATATCATCACGCGGTCGACATACTGGGGAAGATATTGCAACGATTTTCCACGAATGTTTATTGGAATATGACATAATTGATAAAATACAGGGTATCACGGTCGACAACGCAACTGCAAATACCAAATTTACGAGTTGTATGAATTGGACAAACAGCTGCCTCACTTTGATTCAGACAATCAACATTTCCGGTGCTTTGCTCACATTTTGAACCTTGGTGTACAAGATTTATTAAAGACCTTAGCATTACACTGTAAAACTGACAATAAGGGACAAGAACAGCAGTATGAAGATATGAAGACGAAACTGAGGAAGATGAAGAATATGCGCCAAATATTGCTAACTCACGTACAGCTATAACAAAATTACGCAGTATTTCCAGTAAAATAAAAAGAAGTGATATATTGAAGAGGAAGTTTCAGTCTGCTTGTGAAGCAGCTGGCGTGCCATCAAATCTGAACTCCATACTCGACTATCCAACGAAATGGAATTCCACAAATGATATGATTGGATTTGGTTTAAAAGTGAGAACTGGCATTAACATATTGTGCACTTCTGTCACCGAATTGAATGATTTTCAAATCACAGATAGTGAATGGCAAATACTCGAACAAATACATAAGTTTCTAATAAACTAAACTTCTATCAACGAAACTTGGTGGAGAAAAATATGTTACATTACCGCTAGTCATTGTATCATTCATTTTCCTGCTCTATAAAATTGAATCCATGGTAAAACAATTAGATTAGAAACCTAATCGATCCGAAGTGGATGAAAGGCTCATTCTGGGTTTTCAAGCAGCTCGAGACAAAATGCTTAAACATTATAAAAAGCGCAACTGGATTTATTGTACCTCTTTAATTTTAGACCCAAGATATAAGACTCAGACTTTTGACATGACATTATGGGGGAAGCAAATTAAGACAGAAAGCCTGCGCAAATTTAATGAACTTTATAAAGAATATAAAAGTCTACACTCAGTGAATACATCTCTAGAATCACCAAGAAATGAAAAGAAAGTATGTGAATATGATGAAGATGAAGACGTAATAGACTTTGAGAAATTGTATGCATGTCCCTCGACGTCATCTGGATCTGGATCTTTTCATCAAGGCTTAGTTATAGACGAGTTGGAGGAGTACCTAAGTAAACCCAGAGCCGCCAGTTCGGAAGACATTTTAGAGTGGTGGAGGACGCATGAGACAGAATATCCGACTTTATCGAAGATGGCCCGTGATTTTCTTTCAATACCTGCAACTTCAGTATCTGCTGAGAGATTATTTTCTAAAGCACCATTAGTAATTAGAAAACATAGAAATAGGTTAAGTGATGAGTCAGCCAGAAGGTTACTTTGTATTAATTCTTGGTCAAAAGAATTAATATAAAGTAACAGTAATGTCAAAGCTGCTGTGTACTGTTATGTAATTTAATTTGTATTGTATTTTATTTTTTATTTAAATAAATGGTAAATTGTATATACTCTT